TACTTAAGGAAGCTGGAGCTACAACAAAGATGTTCTCCAGCTTCACAATCTTATAATATTATTGCAGTATCCCTTTCGCAAACCCGCTTCCTACTAGCAATAGTACTTTGTCGACTTCCCACCTCTATAGTATTCACCATTTGACCTTTTCATACTGTCAGAGCAGCATGTAGACAGCAGGGCGGAGACAAGGGTCAAAGAGGTGGTGTTCAGGCTAAAGGGCGCCATCCTACATTATGCATGAGATAGGTGCATAACCACTCGGCCAAAAGGCCAGACCAGAATCATAGAACACTAGATTCTGGTTATCTCCACATATATAGATTATACAGAAGGCAATCCTGACACATACCCTTGGCGAACGGCGATCTCGATCTCCCCTATAGCACGCCGTAACACGGCCTCTATGCCCAAGAATGGGCGTCTGTTTTACTTGGTATATGAAATTGGGAACGTACGCTTGCAGTGACTGCTAAGATAGATTGGATTGCAGAAGATGAGATTGATCAGATGATGTGTGAAAATGTATATAGAATATGTGTCTATCTACATAGGAAAGATTAATGCTTTTATGTGTGGCCAAGTCGCTTACTAGCCAATCACTCGGACCACTCTGTTCATCCATGCTTTTTCTCACTCCGAGGCAAATGCGCCAAACACATCATGTGAGTTGTCTTCCCCGCAGGAAGAACTCCATGACGTACCCTCTTCACAAGCACCACGTGCCTTATCTACTTTTGCTAAGCACAACAGCGTCGGGTGTGTCCGCATAGCCTATTGCAATCAGACAATCCTATCATCTAAAGGCTACAATATCCTATCTTTTTTCGCAATTAATGCTCCTTATTAATGCAAGATAGATCTCTAGCCTACTCTCATTGTGTCAATTCCTCAATGCCCAACTCCTTGCTACTCTCCCTCCTTTTTTTTGGATTACTATGGTAAAATTACAAATTTATGCAGTTCTTTCAAGGCAATCCTATCAATGTCGCCCCTAATCTTGGCTCTACATGGTGACACCTTGTTATGTGTATGGATGAGCTGTGTTGCACCAATTACCGAATTCTTTCGCCCCTGTTTGAGTTTGAGTTTGATTGCTATTTGTATCAGGCATGTGCCCTACAACCAATAGGCGTGATACGGGTATGTGATTTATACAGACTCACTACCACCTATGTGCATGGTTTTACTTGCCAAAGAAATCATAAGAAATAAACATAAGAAAATAATACAGTGTGTCCAAACAAAAGCGCCCTGTACCATGTCCTATTCTTCCCAGCAATTGACTACTAAAATAACCACTGATACCCCTGGGGGAGCTTATGACTCTTCATCTACGGCCTTTTCCCTGTAACATCTTGTTACAGTTGAAAATTCAATAAATTTTTCCCAAACTTTTCCCTCAAGCATCTCAATTGCCCTCGGGGGAGGTTCCTGTTTCATGCCTCTCCACTGTTGTAGGATCGGTCGAAATTCTGCAAAGTATCAAGAGGGTCTTTCTCGACCGCACTCACATTTGGCTTCGAAATTTTCAAGCTTGTACCTTCCATGGTATTTGGGAAAATCGCCGTGCCCAATCCTAGCTGCAATCAGTTTGTGGTAGGCCCATCTCGGTAGAGCAAGTTCTGGAGGTCGCTTCCTAGTCATCATAAGATCTAAGTCTGTATAGTACTTTGGCGCATTTTTCTGCCACCATGCTACTAACAGTCCCTCCACACGCTCCCTGACAAATCTGTGGAGTGATGCAAACGTAAATTTCATTCTGCGGGGCACCTCCATGGGGAGTGCCTCATTGGTCACCTCATTTGGGAATTTAATTAGGGCGGCTTTGGCAAGCTTGTCTGCCATCTCATTTCCCTCGATCCCTGAGTGCCCTGGTATCCACTGAATTTTCACCAACCAATGTTGCTGACAGTCCTTGACAAATTTTTCGACTATCCCCTGGAAAGATCTAGACCTACCACTGCATAAGGCCTGGACAGCTTGTAAACTATCTAAGAGAATCTTGATTGAGTTGCTGCCAGCCACCAGTAGAGCTGCTTCGAGGGCTTTCTGGGCTCCCAAGAGTTCCGCGTCATAAGTCTCTGCACCAAGCAAAGGACCTGCGCTACTCTCATTCAACTTTCGTCCTCTGAATAGAGTATATCCCCATGCATATTTTGACAGTCCGCAGGATGAGCCATCTGGGTACGCACATATAGTGTCGGCTAGCAAGTGCTCTATCCATTGTTTGGCTAGAGTGGCTCCAGACTGCTTGTCTAGTGTCGCTGATTGGTGTTATGCTCAGCTATGTAGTATGGTAGATCTAGTAGCTGGTGCATAGGTAGTTATTATGGCAGCATGGCGTTATGGCATCATGGCGCATGGAGGAGATCCAGTCTCTATATAACGACATTACAAGTAGGAATGTGTGCAGTATGAGAGATGGGTTGTTGATATAGGATAAATGGCATGGCTGCTCAGTTGGTTGCACACTTTGGTGAGCTGCATACTAGTAACGTGATTGGTCTACAAGGGAACAAGCTATGGGATAAGGGACGGGCTTCTCCCAATCTGTAACATAACAATTATCATAATAACTTCACTTCTGCATATTAATGAAGACATCTCTCCATATACTGTCTTAGCTGTTCCAGCGCAAGTGTACATTCTCATTTCATATACCAAGTAAAACACGAACTTCCCGAATGGAAGCTGACAGGTTTGTAAATTCTACCTTGATTAGTCTTTCACAGCTGCTAATGTATTCATCCATGTTAAGCAACTAAATTTGAGTTTGAATTTTAACAAAAAACATGACATCTCCTCTTTCATATATATTCACAACGGTAATCTTAACCCTTGTACCAAACTACAAGTTTCAACGATTAAGTAGTTTAATTGCTCTTGTCAGGCTTCTTTGGTAAGTGATCATGAGAAGTCGGGAACAGGCTCAGTGGGGATGAAAAAGGTCACGCTAAAAAGCCTAATATTTCAAGACGGGATGACTTGTTCAGCTGGAGCTATTCCGAGTCGGTGGTTGCTGTATTTCGTTGACCAATTCTCTTGATTTGTATATTCTGACACTCGGATACTGCTTTGTCCCAATTTAAGATAGATGGCAATTCCATAGCATCAAAGCTGCTTAGGCGCAGGGCAGCAAAAATTTCCTTTATATTAATGGTTTTCATCATGTAAGTTTGTGGCTATACAAAGCTACTTTCGGAGGGCAAGACAGGACACCTGTACGCGGTGTCCTCTACGAATCTGGGAGTCAAATATTCTCCCAGAGCCAAGTTCAGTCAAATTTCGCAATACTGAACAAGTTGGCCATCGAGGCAATGGTTCAAAATACTCTACCATGTCAATCTTTCACTCCCAACGAGATCTTCTTCTATCTATATCTCATCAAGTCTTCAAGTACGACCTAGTACATCATCATTCCAATGAGCACACCTCTCGCCGACTTTCTCTAGCCTCAGCTGGTCGCCAAATACACGCCCACGTCGATTTTTACACCCGACGAAGGAAGCAAAGCGTGGCGCGCAAATCTGGGAGACGGTTCCTTGGGATGGACGTGAGAGGTATCAGGACAAGTTTACAAAACAATGTAGAGGATAAATGTAATCTTGACGGGCGTGAGATTTCGAAGTTTGGCAAGAATTTTGTACAGATTGAGCTTTGTGCGTACGAAGGTATCGGTTGCGAGAGTGCAGGCTACACTATAAACATCGCCATGGCTGGATGGTTCGGTGGTACATCGTCTTGGCTGATCCTACAAGTAGAGTCAGGATGGCTCGGACACATATCCCAATCGAGATAGGAGATTGCTGGTTCAAATCCAGCAAAATAGAACGACTTTTTTCACGACGCTGATGTGCATGGACGACGAAGACATGCTTGGATAATTAAAGGTTTTGAATTTCCCTTTAGTGGGTACTTTCGGCGGAGGGTCAACTGTTTGTGTAAGCAAGCATACCTCATAGTGGTATTTGTGAATGAAATCCAGAGTATGAGTGTCTCTAACTTCGAAAGAGCCACCCAATACCTATACATAGCACCAGTCATGTGTCATAGCTACATAGCTGCAGACACATTAAATGATTCAAAAAAAAATAGCACAACATCCAGCCCTGACTCCAACCCTAGCCTCAGCAGGCTTGATCCAAGCTGGCCCGTTAACTTTGATAATCTTACTGTGACGGCCTCAGATTTGTTGAGAATCTTTTCCATGGAACTCCACCTTGAACTTTCCGCTTAAACGCTGACTCAAGAATGTCTCGTCATAAAATCTACGTACTGCAGTGTATATTGCCTCATCATGGTAGATGAGTAGTGGCTGGCCATTACTTAACACGTTAGGCACAAGGACCACTTGCGATATATCTCATAGATTAGTCAAATTTTTCCATATTTACAAAATACCAAGTGTTCTTTTGTTCATCATACTTTGTACACATGATATTTACAGAGTATTTTTTTGAAATTTACCCATCACATACTGTATATCATCTTTCGTAAATTCTAACCCCCATGACTCCACTCCATCAATATCCCAACAACCAGGGTGTACGCAAATTGAATATCCGCGCTACTTGTCATATTTCATGTGGAGGACTCGCCGTACAGCGCTCACGATAGCTTAAAATATTTATTCCGGGCCCTCTGGCTCTCCTACGTTAAGTGATATTGTAGATCATATCAGTCACTGTGTCCCCTCAGTGATGGGGCTGCAGCCAACACTGTAGCCCGGTAGACCTTAAGATTGATGAAATACACAGAACTTACCGTTTAATGATAGACTGCCTTGTCATCCCCGTTTATTAACACCTGATTCGTGTCATAGGGCAACCCAAAGTCGGTGAAAGGATATCACAAAAGGTGCATTCTGCTCTTCATACTCTCGCCGTGCCGATCTCGTGCTCGGCGATTTCTTCATGCCTCGATTTCAGGGCAAAAAACTGATTAGTATTTCTGATTCGCATAAGTTTCGCGTGCTGAATATCCAATTACGGACGTAGATGTCCATGAAGATGGGCTTAAATATCTCAAAATTGGCGTCACGTCAGTCGAACAATCACGCAACACATCTAAAGCGTCAATTTCCAACCAGAATTCCTCAGTTCGATTTTCTGAAACAACATGGGGAACCATCTCCTATGGAACATGCTCAGCAGTCTGTGAGAGTTAACGACAAACCAAACCAACTTGGTATGCCTACCGCTCCTTTAGATTTGTATTAGTGAAGCAATTTGATATCAACTTCACACTAAACATCAGGACTTGTATTGAGAAATACTTTAGTTAACCATCAAGATGGCTTACACAGTCCGCACAGCCAACGCTTACAGAAATTGCAAACGGGGTCAGTTAACTTTTGCCGCTAATTTCATTAGGCTTCTCTTCCCTCAGCGACTTTACTTACCCTCATTTAGCCTACCATTTACCGCAACAAATAATGAACGGACCGGAGCAATTATTTACAACACTTCCGAAACTTCGACAGTTTTCAACAAGGCAATTGAACATAGTGAAGCAATTTTTCCTAAAAATTCAAACTTAACAGACACCAACTCCATTCAGCATGACAACAATACACTTAGATCAATCAGCACAGATGTCGATCAAAATCAATCAGTCCTCTTTCTTTCAGCACGTCAACAGCTAGCTTCACAAGCTGCAGCCGAATTCTCACGTTTAGGTAAGAGTGCGCATCAAGGGCGACAGTTTGTAGATGTAGGAAGTATTCGGCAAATTATTGAGATGCGTGATGAAAAGTTTGGGATGACAGACAGTGACATTGAAAAAAAACTTGGATTAAAGACAGGGACTGTAATCAAGCTAGGGAATAAATCAGTCGTCAGCACCGTTAATTGATTTGCTCATATCCATTAAAGCGATTAATCGCTCACCTTGTCACCCATGAGAAAGGTTTTGTGCAAGCATCAGAACATCAGCTATAAACTTCAATCCAAAGATAAAAGACGTGTAGCTTCTATAAAAACCGTTGAAGAAATTTGTTCTTAGGGCTGTGGTGTATAGGAATAAAAGCGTATTAGTTTTTACCGTGAATTTCTCAGGAAATCGTAGCAATGTCCTCTGCAGCTATTTGTGGTGACATGCATTCAGTTGATCGAGATGGCGACGAGTTCCTATGTCTCGTTCTGCATGATATGCTCAGTTGCACATTTCTCGAGAGCCAAGTAACTAAGTTCTATTCCTCCCGATCTAGATTTATTAGAATAATTAATTTGTAGAATTCTTCTCGTCTCAATTGTGTACTCAACATCTCGGCTAGCTCTCTGTAAATTAGCCAATAATTTTTCTTTCTTTTTTTACAAATTAATTTACGGGATTTCAGCTACTTAGCCATGCCACAATATCAGAGAAAAAGGTAGTGATAGATGACTTAATTAAAATTAGAGCACTCATACCTCGGATTTCATTTGCAAGTACCTCTACGAAGTGTTTTGATGTGAGCTTTCTCAGCCAATCGGATATGCTATGTTAGATGATATAGAGACCTATACAAGTTATGGTTGGTGTAGTGACATCATAGACAGTTGCATGTGGGTGATAAAGACAAGAATGTAGATTATTCTATAGCATATGATAGAATATTCTACCAGCAAGTAGATAGATGATATATAGGTATAATAGGAGTATCGTCCTTTACGTGGATAGCAGCTATCGGAAAACGAGTCTAATAAAGCAAACACATGTCATCGTCCACTTCATAATAGTGTCGAGTGCATCGTAGTGATAAAACCACTGTTTGTATGCAATTCCTCTCCTCATAGTCATTGTACGAAGTTATGGCGGCTTTTTCTTCACCCACTGTCAGCTCTAGTCTATCATAGCCACCCAGTCAAACGTCTCAACAACCCTGGGCTATCCAGACATGCCTCCGTCATCCATCGACAAGTCTCCGTGCGAGAAGCGATCTTAAGAGTCTCCTTTCCAAGCGGAGTGGGTGCACAGGCTGCTTAAACTTTACCACAGAATACGATGAGGAATCGAACCACGGCACCTTGCATTGTCGGCTTGTGTTTAGTGCCAGCTGCACTTTCGCGATTAAGTTTGGCACGTACAAAGCTCAATTTATAAAATTCCTTGCTAAAATTCAAAACTTCACCTCCATCGAGATAATATACAACTTCTGCATCATCTTGTAAACTTATCCTAATCTCTCTCACGTCCATTCCGAAGAACTTCCTCCCAATTTTGTGCACCACGAATTTTGTCCTCCTGATGGTATTGATATTGTCGTGGGCATATATTTAGTAACCAGCTGAGACCTGAGAATAGTGGATGAGAGGTGTTATCATTAGAATGAGGATGCACTAGGTCGTACTCGTAGACTTGATAAGGCTTCGGTAGGAATTGATATCGTTGGAAGTTAAAAATTGACATAGATTGTTTTAAATCACTATCTCGTGGGCTAACTTTTTTCCTTCAGTCAAATTTGACTGAATTTGGCTCTGGGAGATTTTTTCCCTCCCAGGCTCATGGAGGACTCCGCTTGCAGGTGTTCAGTCTTGCTATCCAAAAATGTGTTTATATGTGCAAGCATCGCTTTTTAGAGTACTTCTAAGTACATGTTATATAGATGGTTGTTGCATTTTAAATTGAGAAAATAATGACCACTCAGTGATTGAGGTTGTAGAGCATATTTATCTAAGCGGCTACCGAGATGAATTTAAGTACATAATTTTTAGTCACGTGTGTATCAACAGCGTGGCCTTATTGAAAGCCCAGTTTATCTAGATTTCATTATTTTAGTTGATTTCTCAATAAATTAATATGTTATGTGGACGTTTATATTTATAATAGTTTAGGAGATTTTTTTTCGTTCATCGGTGACCTTGTAGAACTCTATCTGGAGGAAGTAGAGTTATGAGGTTATTCTTTTTCACTTAATCTCTTGAATTGCTAAGGCTGAGAGGAAATATTAAAAAAGAGCGGAAAGAAGAAGACTCTACATGAATAAGCAAGCTGTAAAGACAAAAAAAACAGACGTGTAAGTTGTTGTTAATCATCGAGTCTTCTCATCATTACTTACCGGATCGTTTGTCTCCTAGAGCTTTCGACGATTGGTATTGAAATATGACGGATAGTACCATGCGTAAGGACACTGCCCGGTTGAGGGGGGTTCATTAAACCGCTGCATATCCTCCTCTACTCCCGCTCCCGCCTTGTATAGTTTTTAGAACTCTTCTTATCCAGTCTTTTAGAAGGTATGGAATGTCCCTGATTGTATCGGAGTGTGGAAGTAAGTCCAAGCCTCTAGCACCATATCTATAATAGTTCATCCATGAACCAAAAATAAGAAATGAAGCAGTAGAGAGGAAGCCACTACAAAGGATCAGAAATGTTCATTGAGCGACCTGTAAACCTACACTATTATGAACCAAGTGAAAATTCCCCAGTGTTTTTCTGCCGGGTCCTTGTGTTCTATTGTGCTTGCACAAGCAAACTTTGTTTTCCAGGACAGATGCAAAGTGTCGAATTCTTCCAAGTTTTGATTGTATTCAATAAAAGTTAGACTAGAGCTCTGTGTATCTAAGTTTTCATCATCTTTGGGTTCACGCGTCTGAACACTCTTCTTGCGTTTGAGTTTTGGTTGAACATATTTATCTTCAGGATCCAGTAGGTTCTCGTTACCAAAGCGAGTAGGATCACATATGAAGTCAACAATTGCTTTTTGGGATTTCTTCTTTCCGTCGTCTCTAATGAGGAATCCTCCGCTCATCTCAAGCCTAAGTCCTTCGATATCATCCTCCTGTCCGGAAGGTTTGAGTATCTGCCATTTTTCGTCCATATGTCCTCCTGAATGTTCTTTTAACTCACCCGCTATGGGCCATCCACGTTCAAGGATACTAGTATTTTCGGTGGTAATTCGTTCCATAGCACATACTGTCAAATATCAGACAAGACATCTCAGCTATTTATGACAGCAAAGGATAATTTAAGCTTACCCCTTGATCCAAAAGGGCAAAGCTTCTCTCCAGACTTTCTTTCTTCCAAAACTAAGCCCTGGCAAATATCAATTGTAAATGTCGTGTTTTTGAAACTAACTATTTCATCGATACTATGCATTACCGAACGTGGTCCTCCGAGATCACTGAAATTCCATTTGGAGCCATCAACAACGACTTGGTCACAAGCAAGACCTAGAGATGTCGCGGTGTAGTGAAACAGAAAGAGCGAAATAGTAGCAGAGTGTACATGGCTCCAAAGTGTCCGCATAGCTTGAGTATGATGATTCACTTCAAATATATCTGGCAGAAACAAGAATTCGAGATAAAAGAGGGAGTGTCCTTGTAAGATTATCAATTCCAGAATAAAATACGTACTAAGAGTCTCATAATCAGGGACGGCGTCTATGCTCTCACTGGATGAACAATGTTTATAGTGCATGGCTATGCAAGGCTGACTCTATATCAACGATTTATGCCTCAGTCCTCAAAGTTTATAAATAACAGTGTCGTCAGATAAGTTTCATCCAAGCAGGAAGAAGACTGATCATCAGTCAGTGGTATCATCTAAGAACCCGGAAGTGAAACATCTTCTAGAGCCGAGATTCAGACATGAACAAGGGTAGCATGACTTTTAATCGTTGGATTTTCGGATTGAAGGAGTTGCTCTCGATATTTGGTCGAAAAATCAGTCGGCAGAAATTTCACAGCCGCAAGAAAGTCGAACAAAAGCTCATCACCACCAACATACGATGAACGAGTGGACATAGGTCTATCTGGGGATATTATCCAAAATAATAATATCTCTCAAACTCCGTATATATTTGCGATGAAGCACTTCTCAGTCGATCCTACACCTGCGACCTACCTCCATACTCGTCACATCACCTACCTACACATGCCCTGATGAGGAAAGCCGTGATGGAAACGGGACGTGTACCAAGGAAGAAGAAAATGGAACATACACCGAGGGGATTAGCCAAGTCTCTAATAACGATAACAACCCAACGGTACGGTACGGTATGAAGGTGCAAGGCTGGAGCAACGATGAGATCTTGGACGGCATTTATATTTCGGAGTCAATGAGGATGTCAAGGGCTCGGGCGCGTGGTGACCGAGGCTAAGGAGGAATTTGCGCTGCGGTATTTACACAGCGGAGTTTTGGACGGTCTGATGTTTTAACGTGTGGTATTTAGGGATTACATTGGATTAGAGTGGCAGCTGTGTCATCTAATATTCAGTGCACGGACACCTCAACTTTGTACGTGGTAAAATTCCTCTTCTCATTAGGTCTACATAGTATTTAATACACAACAATCAGACCACAAGGTTATCAAGTCCTGCGCATAATGCTAAACAGTAGCTTTAGCCAATTGACTACAGTAAGCTCATAATCACAACATCAGGCTTGGTATGATTCAACACAAAGGTGAAGTCTGAGGTGGTTTGGCCATCTAGGTGCGACGAGGCATGTCTGAACTTCACGGTAGTTAATCTGATCCGGCCCGGTCTTACTCGTGCTAAAGCTCCAGCAGGAGTGCGATGGGTGTGATTTGCCTAGCACGTTAATGAAAAAAAATAAAACAGAACACCTGACAGTGGTGACTTTTACGAAACAAGATGATATGCATCTCCTGAAGACCGTCCCTAGCTTTCACAAGCCATCTTAGACGACTCTCGTGCACCACCCGCGGTATCAGCCCTCCCCTTCTTAGACAAGCTATTCAAGGAACAGCTTTCGCTATCCTCTTCTTTGGGGCCGAGACATGGTATTCCAAAAGTACCCCACAGGATATAATAAGGCGTATTCAGTGCAGAATTAATGATACTGCTAGAGCCGTCCTTCCTGTCTTCCGAACGACTCCGACTCCTGCCCGTCTTCGAGAGACCGGATGGGGGACGGCTAGCTCATGGCTAGAACGGATACACGACCGCCTCACAGTGCGAGTCGCGTCAGCAAACCCACGTCACCCTTTACGGTGGCGCTGGACTTCCTCCCGAATGTTGTGGATCCGACAAAGAACATCTCCAGAACTATCAACTGATACAGTACCACCCCCATGGAATACCAGTCGAGAGTTACTTCTACAAAATATCGGGGCTATAGGCAGAAAAAATTGCCGGAAAGAATTTATGAGTTGGCAAGCATCTCAACACCCTTTGGATCTATTCGTCTTCTCTGACGGTGCCCTTTCGGAGGGTAGAGCCGGGTCCGGATATGTTATCTATCGGGGCCTCACACAGATAGTTGGGCAGGGGACCCTTCCTTTCGGAGAATCTGCCGAAGTGTACGATGCAGAAATAGCCGGGGCCACTGAAGGCCTAAGTGCCGCCCTCCATAATCCGATGGCTCGATACACCACAAATATTACGGTTTGCCTAGATAATCAGGAAGCCGCCCTTCGTCTCCTTGCAGATACTCTTTCCCCTAGCAGCTCCTCTCGTATCGCTTACTTTCGATACCTTGCTACTAAATGGATAGAGAGAGATCGTAGCCACTTTCCGGAACCGGGTGTAGTCAGGGTGCGATGGTGTCCAGGACATGTCGGCATACCGGGCAATGAAGCTGCTGACGCACTTGCTAAACAAGCATGCGCAACCCCTTCACTCCCCCTATCTCCAACAATCTCACGAGCAAAGAGAGACATAATCTCTCGATACAAAGCCTCTGTATCCCTGTACTGGTCCCAAGACGCTCCTGAACGATACCAAAAACTGGGAATTAACGCCAATATTGGGAGCTCCCCCGAACTCAAGAGCCTTAACCGCTACGCTCTTGGTCGCCTTCTTGCAGCTTGCTCAGGCCATGGAGACTTTGCTGACTACCACCGCCGCTTTCAGCACTCGGACGCTCTTCTAATCTGCTCTTCCGGGCTAGAAAAGTCGCCCGAGCACTTCTTCTTTTGTAGACTCAATCGGAGTCGTTCCCACCTTTGCAGCGGAAATAAACACCCAACGACGGGAATTCGCTGGATCCTAGGCTCACCTGAAGGAGCCATAGCTTTTAGTAAATGGCTTCATGAAACGAGCTTTTTTGAAGCATGCAACAACAAGACTAACTAGTACCCCAAATTATATGCACTTGGCCTGTATTTGCTAGAGCTAAATTTAGAAGACTTCTGGTCTAGGTGATGGATAACTTTCCTTTTCATATATATAACTCACCTCTCTATTGTATTAGAATACAAAAGTCTCAGCTCGAGAGTACTTTTGGCTTCTTTCGATAGTTCGGGGTGCATGGCAGGTAGGCCTTGGCCCATTTATTACATGTCGGGCTTATTGAAAGGTATCGACACGTCGGGTAGTTTATGTAGACTGAGCTGGCCAACACGAGACCTTAAGTTTGTGTTGTGAGCTAGCACGATGTTAAATAATTATAAAAATAAATAAAAATAATCTCCTAAAGACCAAGATTCTTTCAGTTACTAATTCGTATTATTGTTCTGTCTGATTCCATGACCACATAAGAAATGTAGGTCCGCTCTACCTACAGGCCAAGGATACCCATACCAGGAGTATATCACCTCCCATGCCTTCCATACAGCTTCCCTCAGACAGTACGACTCGTCACAAGCCCTCGTTCGATCATACACTCAGAGGAGCCCTTTTCCCTTCATTCTCTCCCCTCTCCAGCCAACGAAACGATGGCCATTTGCGGGTGTATAGCAGCCGGGAAAATTGGCAAAAACCACTGGGTGCGGGGCTCTTCTAATACCGACATTAGGACTAAATCCGAAGACATATTGATCCTTCTGAAGCGTCCGGAGAGGCCGGCTAGCTGGACGCTGCAGACTTGTTTGTTTGTTTGTTCATTAACGTGCTAGGTGAAGTAACTACCGTCGCACTCCTACTGGAGCTTGAGCACGAGTGGGGTCGGGCCGGATCAGGTTAACTACCGTAAAGTACAAGTGCCTCGTCCCACCTCAATGACCGGAACCATGCCGAAACGCATCTATGTGTTGAAGCATGACGAGTACAGCAGCCCAGAGTTGAAAACAAAACAAAAGAAAACTTCCACGCAAAGTCCTGCATTACAAAAGAAAAAACTTTGACAATCTCCCTTCCATCGTTCCGCCTCGGCCACCACGCGCCCGAGCCTCGATTCCTATCCCTACTTCCATGCCAGATCACCTAGGCTTTCGTTCATCACCTCCGAGTCACAGGTATCCCTGCCATCCCCCGGCTAGCCTCCACGTATATTCCGCTCTCCTGGACATAGTCCCTGAACAGTTGCCACCCGCTTGATCCGAGCATTGTTTCTATAGCTGGCACCCTTCGCCTTCCGCTTTTCAGCCGCCATGTTGCCAGTGCTTTTCGACACTGAACAAGGTGACCGATTGATTTTTCTCTCCCACACTCGCAGTGAAGTGTAGCGTCAGTGTCGTTGAAGCGGCGATGATAAGCCGCGAAATCCCCATGTCCGGTTCGAGCGGCTATTAAGCGAGCGTAGACTGCCCTTGGTAGTGCTAGTTCTGGCGGCTTCTTGCGTCGCATCTCGAGTTCGAGGTCTGCATAATGTCTGGGGCGATTCGAATGCCACCAGTCTGTAACCATCTGTCTGGCCAGTTCGCGAGCTCTCCTTCCGGAAGAGGCGAGGGTCATCACCCCATGTGTCGTCCTCGTATCGTCCGACGAGTTAAGCTCTCTTCGAGCGAGCTCATCAGCCATTTCATTTCCTACCAGCCCTTCGTGGCCCGGAATCCATCCTACTTTAACAGGTGCTGCTGCTCTAGCGACCATTTTGCAGAACTTTTGAATCCTCCAGGATGATGAGCCTGTTGTTCCCATTAGTAAGGCCTGGACAGCCGCAGAATTGTCGAGCAGAATATAGATGGCGCTACGACCACGATCTCGCTTCTTGCTAGTGATTGCTTCAAGAGCAGCTAGAGCTCCATGAACCTCCGCGTCGTAGACCTCCGCATTGGTTATTTTGCCTGAGCCGCTTTGCTCAATTACCCTGCCTGTGCCACTGATAAAAGTCACAAAGGCCCATGACACTTTGTCGGTGGACGCCCCAGAACCATCACTGTACACGCAGAGACAGTCGGGTGGGAGTGTAGGCAGCCACTCTCTTATGAACTTGGCAGCCTCTTTCTTGCTTGTCCAGCAGGGAATTGGCTGAGGGGGGACCGGAGGTCGGAGCAGTGGAGGTAGTTCAGCCTCTGGCAGAAGTCGATGCATCCTCTGGACCCTTGAATCATGCACTCTGTCGAAACCAAGTCTGGTTTTGTTGCATGTCTTTAGGCCGAGTCGGTGACGAGCGCTGTCTGTGCTTTCCGTGGCCCGAAGTCGAAGCGGATGGTACTCATCTAGTGTCCGGATTCGTGCGGCAGTCTTGAGCCTGCGTTCCTCGAGCAGAATTTGTGCTGGCGGAATACCAGTCTCTCTTCTCAGTGCTGCAACAGGCATCGTGCGCCAGGTTGGTAGAGCCACGCGGATTCC